GGAGAGAGAGACACGCAAAATATACAGCAGGCGTCAGGGTCGGGATCGGGATCGAACCCACGACCTCCTTCATACCAGGCGACATCGTTGACACGCAAAATATACAGCAGGCGTCAGGGTCGGGATCGAACCCACGACCTCCTGCATATCAGGCGACATCGTTAACATCTCGCTAACATGATGGTAGGGATACTGAGATCAATGATCCAACCGCCATACGTGAATATCTCTTTGCGGGAGAAACAAAACAGCGCTGAATATAATAATAATGTCAGCGTGTAACGCGCAGTATTTGCTCGCGTTGAAAGAGAGAGGAAGACTCAGAGGGGCAAGGAGTAGGAACCTCAGACGGTGAGCCGGGTCAAGATTCCTCATCAAGCTCCGTAGTCCTTGATGTATGAATCAGAATATTTCTTTATACTGCAGGAATCCGATGACCTATATAGCTCTGTTGAACTACCTCGCCTGGTGTGCAGGAGGTCGTGGGTTCGATCCCGACACTGACGCCTGCTGCTGTTAATTTAGAGTTTGCGTGTCTCTCTCTCTCTCATAATTATCGCGGTGGCTATGAGATGTTAACTACCTCTTCTGGTATACAGGAGGTCGTGGGTTCGATCCTGACCCTGCCGCCTGCTGCTGTTTATTTGGAGTTTGCGTGTCTCTCTCCTTGTGGTCGCGTGGATTTTCTCCGGATTATCCGGTTTTTCCCTCCACATTCAGAGACATGCCTTGAGAGTATTTGGCTGCTACAATTTTCCACATGATGAGAAGTGACTTGGCCACAATTTAATTATAGCTCAACAAAGTGGCTTACGATGCGGAAATTCACAGCAGCCAATTTCTGTAAAATATTTTAATCAATTAAAAGTACACATCTTTATGATTGAAACAAATTTCGAATTTCAAAGACGGAGTGAAAACTTGAGTGGGGGTTGCTGCTGGCTTAACAAATTAATTATCTCCAGAGTCTCCGAGTCTTGGTTAGACGCCCCCCCCCACCCCTTAGCCGCCCACCCTCGCCATCACAGCAGCCGCGTCTAGACCACTGCGATAATTCACTGTGGGCACAATCATCCACCATCACGCTGCGGTGGCACGTTCCCATTCCCACGGGCCTGGAATAATCACACCCGCGTGTGTGTGTGTGTGCGTGCGTGTGTGTGTGCGTCCACGTGTGTGTGTGTGTGCGTCCACGTGTGTGTGTGTGTGCGTCCACGTGTGTGTGTCCACGTGTGTGTGTGTGTCCACGTGTGTGTGTGCGTCCACGTGTGTGTGTGTCCACGTGTGTGTGTGTGTCCACGTGCGTGCGGGTGTGTCCACGTGTGTGTGTCCACGTGTGTGTGTGCGTCCACGTGTGTGTGTGCGTCCACGTGTGTGTGTGTCCACGTGTGTGTGTGTGTGTGCGTCCACGTGTGTGTGTCCACGTGTGTGTGTGTGTGCGTCCACGTGTGTGTGTGTGTGCGTCCACGTGTGCGTGTGTGTGTGCGTCCACGTGCGTGTGTGTGTGGGGGGGGAGGGGGTAGTGTAGTAGCGGTTAGCTCGATGCGCTGTGAACCCCGCGACCCGAGTTCGATTCCCGCTCAAGGCGTGTGTGTGTGTGCGTCCACGTGTGTGTGTGTGTGCGTCCACGTGTGCGTGTATGTGTGCGTCCACGTGCGTGTGTGTGTGGGGGGAGGGGGTAGTGTAGTAGCGGTTAGCTCGATGCGCTGTGAACCCCGCGACCCGAGTTCGATTCCCGCTCAAGGCGAATAATTAGTGATGATTATATGAACAGTTACTGAGCCTCCCCTAGGTCGATTCAGACTTAAATAAGTAGCTGGTGGAATGTGTAAACATTTGCACTTGGGGAGACAAAATGCCTGCTGTTGTGCTTTGTTGGCCTTCAAATGCTACACGGGGGATCTTTGTCTTCGTCGCCTGCGTGTACGTTGTGTAGTCTGGCCCAGTGGTTCACGCCCCCCCCCCCCCCCCGTGCATTCTTCAACTCCTGCGCCCATGAACAACGCCGAGCGGGCCATGTGAATGTGAACCCAGCCTGGGTCTGTCCCCTTCCCCACAGGTTCCACTCGGCTCACGACGGTCGCGCGCGCGGCCGTGACGAGAGGAACGTCCGGCACCTTGAAGACGACGATGCGTGAGCGGCGAGTGGGGGGTGCGAGTGGGGGGCTAGTGGGGGGCGATCGTGGGGCGAGTGGGGGGCGAGTGGGGGGCGATCGTGGGGCGATCGTGGGGCGAGTGGGGGGGCGAGTGGGGGGCGAGCGAGGGGCGAGCGGGGGGCGATCGTTGGGCGAGTGGGGGGCGCGCCAATGAGGTTCGTAAAAACAACCTCCTCGGGGTTGTCGCTCTGCTTGGGGTTCTGGTGATAAGGGTGCGGTCAAGCATCGGACTTTTTAGCAAGTAAATAGGAACAACAACAACAACGACAAGAAGTGAAAACACCGCGACTCTCCGATGTGTTTTCGAGTCGTGCCGCGTGGGCACGATTTTATCCGACGTTTCGCTCCACGTGCTGGGGCAGCTTTTTCAGGAACTGGACATGGCACGTGTGAATGAACACTGGACGTTGTGCTGAGCTATTTCTTTATCATCTCTTTCTATTCATATCGAAATTGCACACAGGAACTGGATGTCCACGTATGTACAAGAGGCTCACAGTGCGTGGCGCAAAACGTCGAACATCGTGCCGAACAAGACCCCCGTAAACACGTCGTCGAGATGAACAGTGAACCTCTTAACGATGCTTGCTTACGATAATAATCTTACTTTATTTATTCAGGCGACTCACACTCAGCTGTGAGACTCGTGTTCAGTCGGATCCCACATTGAGTTGTGTGTTGGGATGTTTGCAACCAATAAACAACGAGTGTTCATGTCACTGGGAGAATAGCTGATCACTCCAGGCGCGTGAGGGAGCAACACAATATCCCCCGCACAGATGTAAACAGGTGGCGACTAATCATTCATTATCAGTCCACTTGCAGCCTTCTCCTGGGGGCGGGGGGGTATGGCAACTCCACAATGCACCCTCTACGGGTCGGGAGTTCCACAAAACGCGCGTGCCGCTGATCCACCAACCTGACCCCCAGGGAGATGCGGGTCACGGGACTACGTGCGTGGATAAGGCGCCAGCGCACAGCTTTTGACTTGGCTCTCTGACCCGTAGGCGTCGTCGTTGTCGCCGTGTACTGGGGAACGATGTGTCTCTCTTGTGCTGCTGCGTTGAAGCGGAGTTGCGCCATCCGCTAGCACTGCGCAACCAGCCCGCTCCGCAGTGTTTACGAGGCGCGTCTCGTCTGATCGACAGCAGCGATAGGGCGCTTTCTCTCTCTGTGTCAGCTACAGGGTTATCTGTCTCTCAGCTGCAGAGATCTCTCTCTCTCTCTCGGTCAGCTACAGGGCTCTTCCGACTGTCTTCCAACCTCCGGTGAATGGAACAAAGCACGGCGCGAGATGCTTTATCTTAAAATATCGTGCGTAAAAATAACGTCACATTAACATTTAGAGTGAACATCAGCACGCGCGAATTGGTAAAACGAAATATGTAAATGGTCTATTCTTACAAGGAGATTATATTTAGAAGTATATTATTAAACTGTCATTGACTAGACGTACAGTAACACCTTCACTTGCTTCTGTGGACAGACTGCCCCCCCCCTCCAGCCATGGCAATGTGGAATTTCCACCAGAACCCTCAGGCTAGTCGTCGTCAAAGGGAGTGATGAACGTCACTCCGACGCCTATTTCAAAATTGTGACAATTCTGCTCATTTAACGTTGATAAACAATGCACGTGAACGGGACGCAGCCCAAATTCTCGTGGAGTAAAGACCATTGCACCTTGAACACGTGAATGGGAAATCGGAGGCCCGCGTGCCGCATGCTGTGAAGATTACACCACGCAGCGGTCCCACAAAGTCTCATCGTCAAATGTGGTGGCGGGGTTTCGCGTTGCGTGGGGGTTTTTAAAAGTAAAAATAAAAATTTTACGCAACTTCTACAAGCGGGAGATGTCCTGCCGCCGGACGCGTTTCCTGGCACTCCTCTCTGTCGGCGGGTCCTGGACCACTTGGGTCGACATTCCACGTTCACGTGGCAGGGGCCAAGTATGTCCACTAAACAACATCTCACAAATGTGCTAACTCGCCCTTTTGTGTTTACAAGGTTCGCGTGGGGAGCTCTAAGGCGGCTGACAGCGCCACTCAGAAACCGCGTCTCTCAACAGACACGTGCCTCGGGGCGGACAAACGGAGTGCTTCAAAAAACATGTGGGACTATCGTTTTTAATGTAAAAACAACTGATAATAATCCTACACTGTAACGTGATAACAAATATAATGCCAATAGCTTCAAGCAGTCAAAGAGTTTCTACACGTGTTCGCCATCGTTGTCAACGCGTGCCTGGAATCTTCTCCAGGTGGTCTCCAGAGCCCAGAGGAGGCTCATTTCTCGCGGTGTTTTTACAAATTCTCAGAAGTGTTAACATGTTATTGAAGCGCGCTGTAATAGGCGCAGCACAAGGGGTCAGGCTAAGCCCGTTGCAGCAGCGACAGCCCCCATCGTCAAGCTCACGGGAAACGTTATGGGGCAGCGAAGTGGGGAGCCCTGAGCCCTGAGAAGCCGCTGTCAACGCGCGCGTGCGTGGGGAGCGGTGGTGCAGCGGTTAGCGCGCCCAGCGACACGGGTTCGATTCGCGCTCACGGCCAACACCGGTGACGATTATCTGAACCGGTCCTGGGCCTCCCCCTAGGTCGACTCAGCCTCAAATGAAGACCGGCGACGATTATCTGTTTAAACCTCGCCACTGGGGAGACAAAATGCGGCCGAGCGCAATAACACCCACCCACTTGGTGTGCCGTGCCCGGCCCTTTAATCGTTCCTACCCGCTAACGACGCTGGCCCCGAACAGCCCCGCAAAGTCCACACTGGGGGGGGGGGGGGGGGGGGGTGAGAGGTCTCTTCGCCGCCGACTCTGAGCCACTCGCACGCGGCGGCACCACTCACCGATCACCACGAGGAGCACCACCACGTCCCGCATGATGCTGGCGGCCGGCTCGCACAGGAGGGGAAACTCGGGCGAGTGACAAACCCCGGGCTCCGGTGGCTGGAAATGAGCGTCGGCTTCCCTCCCTCCCCCCCTCCTGAGATGGGCGAGGGGCACGGGAGGAGGAGGAGGAGGCGAGAGGAGCGAGTGGGGGGTTGGGTGTCGCTACGGGAACAGGGAGTGGGGGGGGCTGCCGTGAGGGTTGCGCGCTTTGCCCCGTGAGCTTCTGCTCTACGCGAGCGTTGCTCTGTCGTGACTCGACTGGCCCTCAGCACGTGAATGTGGAGTGTCCGTCACAGGCTCAGGATCCGACGGTGGCGGGCTCAAGCAAATGGGGCGGTGGCCGCATCGCGCGGCGCTTCCCGATGCGCTTGTGCGTCCGTCTGGAACGCTCCTCCCCTCCGATGTTGGGAAGCCACTGGAGCCGTGCTGCCCTTTTAAATCATCATCTCGATTGACGAACTCGATTCTTTAGAGCTGACTTCGTTGTGTTGAGTTTGTTTGTTCTTTCCCCTTCCCCGCCGCATCTCCGATGAGCGCGGTTGGCTACGTACAGTGCGAAAGAAGTTCAACACAGTTTCAGTTTCATTTATTTGGTATAGCCCTGTGAGCCATTCGGCTCTTGAATCGGGTGAGGAGTTGTACACCCCTAGCTGCCACTGCAATTCAGTGGCCTAAAATACAATGTTTCGCTCCGGATGATCGCTGCAAAGTATGATCTGTGTTTTGATTTAGTGTGCTGATCTTAAAGGTGCATTGAAAAATGTTGATACTCCGACTGATGCTCCTGCTGTTGTGGAGTGACTCATGCAGCCAGCTATGGCTGCAGAGTTTGGTGGTACATGTTGTTTACGTCGTTTATTGTGAAAATTCGGTCACAGTTCCTTTGATCTGCACTGTTTCATTGCTTTTATGGCTTTATTTTGGTGATTTTCGAAAAGTTTTTTGGTTTGGCCATGTTTGTTTGTTGTAGTACAGAGTTAGACTGATGGCCTTAATCTAAGTTGTCTTGTGGTTGTTGTTGTTTGACTTGCATCCCACTGGGGTTTTTGTACACAGCGTTGGTGTACGGTTCTTTTTCTGCAATATTTTGCTGTCTTTTTTTGGATTTTCTGTTTGCACTTAGTCACATAGTCACTTTAAGATGTTTTCTTGTTCATGATTTTGTTTTTTGTTTGTTGCGGTTGCACCCGATTCACGAGCCGAATGGCTCACAGGGCTACACCTAATAAATTAACTTGAACTTGAACCGCAACAAACAAAAACATGAACAAGAAACATTTTAAAGTGACTACACGCAAACAGAAAAATCCAGGAAAAAACATCAAAGTCTTCCAGAAAAAGCGCCGTATATCAACGCTGTGTGCAAAAATCCCAGTGGGATGCAAGTCAAACAATAACAACCATAAGACAATTTAGATTACAGTTATCAGTCTAACTCTGTACTACAACAAACAAACATGGCTAAACCAAAACGTTTTCGAAATCTCCAAAACAAAAACTATAAAAGCAATGTAGCAGTGATCATAGGAACTGTGATTGCAATTTTACAATAAACGATATACTACATAACATGTACTACCAAACTTTGCAGCCATAGCTGGCTGCATGAGTCACTCCATAACAGCAGGAGTATCAGTAGGAGTATCGCATTTTTTTTTTGCGTAACAGCACTCGACGCCTGCCTTAGATTCCGATGTCGACGGGAAGGGACGGCGAGATGGGTGGGCACGTTCCGGCTGAGTCGGTCGTAAGTCACGTGGCCGCGTTGTTGTACCTCGAAGGGCAGCGGAGCGCGATCCGCTTCCCTGCCTTCAGCAACGCACGTTGACCAGCGTGGTGAAGTATGGTCAGAAAAGTCGCCGCGTGGGGGTAGCGCTTTCGTCAACAACAACAACAGACTGTCACTCTACACACAGGCCTTGCGTTAGGGGCTACAGTCTCTGATTGTGAAGACCCTGACAACAACACACAGATCAACACACACAGTGCTTCTTCTTCTTGGTTCTTTCGGTAAAGTCAAGTAGAATGGAAATAATAAAATAATAAAAATAAAACATAATAAAATAATTATCGTGACGTTTCGGCCACAACGCAAGCAGCCGTCCTCAGGTGAGGAACAACTCTGTCTTATCGACAGCAGCCGTCCTCAGGTGAAGAACAACTCTCTCTTATCGACAGACCTGTTCTTCACCTGAGGACGGCTGCTTGCGTTGTGGCCGAAACGTCGTGAGAATTATTTTATTATGTTTTATTTTTATTATTTTATTATTTCCATTCTACGTGACTTTACCGAAAGAACCAAGAAGATGAATCTCTGCAGTCACGAAAGAAGCTTTAAATCGAAACACACAGTGCTGTATAATTAGCCACCTGCAATGCTGTAGCAGAGGGGGGTCTTCTTCTCAGCCTGGGGTGCAAGCACCCTCTGGGGCTTCGAGACGTGTCCAGGTTATTTTTTTGAAGGTAAATAATCGGAAACACAAATTAGGTACGGGCACATGAAGTACAACTCACTTTGATAATTGGTTTTTAACCCTTTTATCTGGCAACAAAACGGACACCTTTTTTTACAAGGAGTCATGTTTGCATAGACCACAATACCTGCAGTCATAATGCAAACAAAAAACATAACTCTGATAATGTATGCACTGTCCTTGAAGAGTTATATTTTTTTACTGGCAAAGGAGGTTCCAATGGTACAACTCACTTTGTTTCATCAATACCTTTGTGTGTATTAACATGATAAGAATGGGTGCAAGGCTGCATGCAGTAAAGGTTAAGAACCACGATGGTATAAACCCTGCCAACTAAACCAGGAGCATGGCCGTGCGTGTGTGCTACAGCCAGCTGGATGCCGACATCACCATCGTTTTTTGTTCGTTTTTACTTCCACTTACCTTGTAGCTTTACAATTCGTATACATCACGGAACAACAACTACACACTCAGAACTGAAATCGCCAAGCTGAGTAACAATGAATAGTGTTTGGCATTACACATCGGTGGTGGTAAAGCAATAAAGGAAAGACATGGAATCAGTCCCGGGCCTTCCACAATAAAGAAACGTGCGTTTTGGTTATTGCGATTATTTTGCTGCTGCAAATTTCCAAATGATATCAGCCGCTCTGTTCAGCGATCAGTTGTAGCCAGGTCGCTTCTGAAAAATAATCAAACAGCTCAGTGAGCTTTACCTGGTAAGATAAAAAAAAACTTTAATTTTATTTGTAGAAGGTTTTTTTAATTGAGTGATTTGTTTAGCTTTCCTATACTTTGCACTCCAATCGTGTTGTTGTTGTAACGTTCGGACCCGCCCCCTACTGGACATCTGTGAAAGAAAAAGAGCTTTACAGCTCATCGGATTCCTCCTGATTAATTCTGCCCCCCCTCCCCCCTCTGTACAATCTTGAAGCTGCCAACGTAGCCGGACATGTCCCAAGACTTGGCTTGAGTCGGCAATGCGTGTTTCACTTGTGACGGCGGCCACGGCGCACATGCACGCATGCCTGTGATCCAATGATGGTGGAGGTAGGGTCGGTGGATCACACAGAGATGATGCTCACGAGGCACGCGTTCACGGGGTAACGAGGTGGTTCGCTGTGGGAGGCGGGACACAGCAAGTCGGCTCGTGGAAGTGTACCTGAGTGGAGTTTGAGTCTCACCCTCTCGCAGACATTGTATGTACGTTTCTTCTGGGCAATCCAGTTCCTGCCACGTGTGTTTAATAAGCTCAAATGTTCAGCCCCTTTATTGATTCCACTGCTGGATGAAGACATCTCACATCGAGTCGATCTGACCATACTTAACCACGTTGGTGAGTGCGGGGTAAACTGGTCTATAATCTAAACTATTTTTTTTTATTTTACCAGGTAAGGCCCACTGATCTATACTGCTCTTTTTCAGAGGCGACCTGGCCACAAATGATTGCTCAACGAAGTGGCTTATCGTGTGGAAATGTAGAGCGGCCAAACACTCTAAACGCTGCAGATACTCTAAACGCACGATTCTAAATGTGGAGGGAAAACTCGGAGGACCCGGAGAAAAATCCACGCAAACCACGGGGAGAACACGCAAACTTCAAAATATACAGGCGTCAGGGTCGGGATTGGGACCGAATCCACGACCTCCTGTATATCAGGCGAGGTAGTTAGCATCTCATAGCCACCGTGGGTTGGTGAAGGGATGGGCCCATGACTAGTTCAGATATCACTCGTCACTGCGATTGTCTGTACTTGGCAATAGCCCCACTCAGCCATCCCACACCATTCACAACATGCATCGAATACTGCAAGAGAGCTTTGGTCAAACATACCAAAGTAGTGCCCTCATGCCAATGTGACTCACTGAGATGTTTTACTTGTAAACGTATACATATCCTATCAGTGCTACTCGAGGATACGCCTGGCCCTGCCGTGAAATTTTAATTTCCATCACTGGCTCGGGACCAGCAGAGGAAGTGACAATTGTCCAACGCCCATTGGAATTTTATGTCACAATAAGAAAAGTCAAAAGCCTTCCCAGCTCAAATGAGTAATGAGGCAGTGCCATCCCCATGGGTAGCCATGACGCGTGGTGAAAATTCCACACTCTCATAGCCGAAGTCATTATCTCCACAGATGACCACCGTTCACTGATACTAATCCTGTTGATCCCAGAATAATAATAATAATAATACGTCGACTGATTTATGAACACAGGTTGCTGTTTGTATGCATGCGTCTTCTTGCGTAAAAATTATGTTTTATATGCTTTGTGTATGTGCCTTTCTATGCTAGTGTGGCCATTGTCCTATCTTACGTGTTTGTTTATACCTCTGTGTTTACCAGTTTCTCTCGATTGGTGAAAATTATTAAGAGGAATTAAAAAAATCGCGTGCGCAACATTTAAAAAAATTAACCCGTAAAAACAAAGTTTTTCCAATAAATCCTTTATATGCGTGGCGGCTAGAGTCCTCTCGTCCTCTGGCTTGAGATGGCTGCCACCTATGGGTCAGATGATTGCCTGCCACCATTAAGCAATTGGTAATTAAATATAATTTATTTTTTCCTAAAAAGTGTCAAATTTTGGAAAAAAAATTTC